CCTTTGCGTTGCTTCTTCTACCACTGTGGTGGGAGCTGTTTCTTTTATTTAGGTTTTAGTATTAAATCCTCTCCCTTATTTCTTTTGGTAGGTCTAAGCCCTTTTAAATCAACAGAATCCCTGATAGTCTAGGTTCAGTATGCAGCTGAGGGAAAAAAACATAGTTTAAAAGAGGTGCCAGGACTGTGTGTAGATTATTGGCATTTTTATTTAATTTTTTCTAATAATTTGGTAGCAGGTCCAGAGGTTATGGCAGTCATTATAATTTTGCTAAAGCACAAATTTGAAGAGTAAACTCTAAGTCTTAGATAGTGAGTTTACTTAGCCAGCTTCCCAGCATTTATTTTTCAATGTGGCTTTGCTGTTCTCTTTTAATACAAAAATTACTTTCATAATCACAGCCTCACTGCCTACTTGTTGGAGGAATATTACCATAGCCATTTTAAAGATAAGGGAACTGGGTAAATTTTATGCCCAAGTGGTAGTTCAAATTTTAGAATTAGCAAATGTGGCTAGATATAGACCTCTCAAATATCAGGCATCTGGCATGTGTCTCTAAAAATGACTACAAGGATGTTAAAGGTGGTCATAGAGAGGAGATACTCTACATGGATATACATAAATATATATTTTTCATCTTATTGTAAGATAAAACACAGATACAGAAAACCACATACTACAATTGTATGGCTTGGTACGTTGCTGTAAGGTGAGCATGCTTGTAACCAGCACCCACGTCAAGAAATAGAACTTTGCCACCTAGAACAAAATCCCCTTCTATGTGCCCCATCCCTTCTTCCCACAAGAAATCATTATCCTGACCTCTGTAGTAATCTTTCCCTGCATATTTTCCTGATAGTTCTCCCTCCCAAATGTACATCCCTAGCAGAATAGTTTGGTTTTGCCATTTTGAAAAACGTACTATATTTTGTTGTTGTTGGCAGCTAGTTATTTTATTTGTGACAGCTTACTACTACAGAGGAAGTTTACATGCATTATGTAAAAGTAGAAAATTTAAGCCAACAACAACAAAGCATATTCTTGCCCCTCAGAGTCATTGTTAACACCTTTGTACTGTGTCTTTTAAGTTTCTTTTAATTTATAGATTTCCCTTCCATTTCCCATAGTTTATCTCCAGAAATACTTGGGCCCTTGGACCTAAAGAGTTTTCCACAGCCTGGACCCTGCTGACTTGCTTACTTAAGATACAACCCTACTGGCCTTTCATCCTCCATATATCCTGCAAATTGGCAAGCGGATCCAGAGATTGGCTCAGACCCAGGTTCTATTCCTCGGGCAAGACTAATGTTTGAAAAGATTATAGGAGACATATAATATCTGGTTGTCTCACTTTTATGATGCCAGAGGCCATTATTACTTAATGCCCATATCTTTTAATTCATTGGGGGATTACAAAATGGTTATATTCTTATTCTATCACTTTTTTCATTCATTAGTTGGAATACTTTTACGAAAAGACTCTTCTCCTTTTTTCATTACCTGTGGTAGTATTACCCAGTGGCAGCATTCATATAGAAAGTACAGAATAGATGCTTGATTAATTACCTTTATTTATTTATTTACCTAATTTTCAAGATATTGAGTTGGTTCCCTATAATTTCCCAAAGGTGAGCAATTCTTTTTTGTTTTAATATCATTTTGAGTGCAGGGACTTAACACATGTTTGATTACATTCATTCCATTGCAATTATCATGGTTGAAACTCAAATTGTTTCATCCTTAGCCAGTGAGAACATCTTAAAGTTAGCTCCTTTTGCCATGACCCTAATAGTCTTTGATAGCTTCTTTGACATCTAGTATGACAAGATGTTCCATATACATCTTATATATTTTCTGTTGTAGACATGGGATCAGCCATTTCTTCACAGAGCCGTGGTTTCTTTTAGAGAAAAGTGATATTTTAGGAACACAATCAGGATTGGTCATTATTTCTAGGTCTTTTTACCTGACAGAATTTGTTGAGGGAGGATGTGAAAAAATATATGTGTATATATAAGTATAGTTAAAAATAACTTTATGAATTTATATTGATACTTCCAATTCAGATTCAAGACTACAAAACTTTTATCCTCTGTTACATATATCTATATTATTTTTCTCATACAAGAATCCTGATTCTCAAGGCTATGAGATGATAAAATTAGAATATTTAATAATTACTTATTTGTTTTACCCCCCATTATACACACAACAGTCTCAAAATGACAGTTCTTATACTCTCACCAATATTATTTACTGGAAAGATTTTCTAAAAATTTTGTATATGTTCTTCCTATTCTTCCCCATTTTAAAAAATAATTAAAATAATTACACTATATCTACATTGTCAGAGCATGTTGCCTTACACTCTGTACACTCTCTCTTTTAGTTTATTGGTAGCTGTAAATTTAATTCTCATCACCAGTCCTTATCATATCCAATCAATAAACATTTATCCAATCAATAAACATTTTGATTGTCTGAAATATGTTCTATTATAGATCATCAGGATCAGCTTATGGGAACAATATCTCTTCAGTTATTTCATGCAACAGTTTAACTATGTCCTTTATATTAATACTTGAAAGACAGCTTTGCTAGATATATTATAAAATCCTTGGCTCACAATTTCTATTTGGGGACATCTTAAATATTACTCCACTTTGTTCTGTCATGAAGTGTTGCTGTAGAAAAGTCTGATGAGAATGTATGATTTTTTACCTCTTATAAGTCACAAGCTTTTTTTCTTCTGGATGGCCAAAGAACTTTTTTAGTTTTCTTTGAAGTCTACTAATTTTACTAGAATTTATCTTTGGCATTGGTTGTTCTGGGCTGATATTTCACATTCACAACATAATCTTCCAATATATAGTTTAAAATCATTTTTTCTTTCAGGAAAGTTGTTTTGAACTGGAAGTTTTTAGCAATTTTTCTGTTTCCCTGCTTTTGTTTTCTTCTTCAGGGACTCTCATTATCCATATGTGGAATCTTTATCTATCTTCAATATTTGCTACTTTCTCTTGAATCCTTTTTTCTCTTCATTTATTCACTAAAATTTTTATGTCTTTTCACCTTGTATTTCCCTTAAAGCATTATCTGTTGTGTTTATTCATTCTTGTGTTTGACTAATTAGTCTTTATTTCTGATATTATTTTATTACTTTATTTCAGTTTTTTTTCTGGTTTCTTTCACCTCGATTCTTAAGTTTTTCTAATCCAGATTTATGCTGTTATTTTATGTCTTGTGTCATTCCTAACATCTTTTGCTTGTTTTTTTTTTTTTTGAGACAGAGTCTCACTGTGTTGCCCGGGCTAGAGTGCCGTGGCGTCATCCTAGCTCACAGCAACCTCAAACTCCTGGGCTCAAGCGATCCTTCTGCCTCAGCCTCCCAAGTAGCTGGGACTACAGGCATGCACCACCACGCCCGGCTAATTTTTTCTATATATTTTTAGTTGTCCGATTAATTTCTTTCTATTTTTAGTAGAGCCGAAGTCTCGCTCTTGCTCAGGCTGGTCTCGAATTCCTGAGCTCAAATAATCCTTCCGCCTCGGCCTCCCAGAGTGCTAGGATTACAGGCGTGAGCCACCGCGCCCGGCCTTTTTGCTTGTTTTGAAATAGCAAATTAATAGTCATGATCTGCTTCTTGAGCTTATCTTTCCTGTGTACTTTTATTTCTGGCAGCAATATTAGTCTCTCCCTCCTTTTCTTTCTCTCTCTCTCTCTCTCTCTCTCTCCTCCCTATCCCCTCTCTCATAGGTTTGTCTTGGATTTGATCTCAGTACGTTTCTGCTGTTCATTTTTAAGTGAAATTAATTTAAAAGAAAATTTTATGTGCAAAAAATATGTGTAAAAAATTACAGTCTTAGAGATTTCTTATAAACAAATAAAATGAAGTTCTGAATAAATAGCCAAAGGCAAGAAAGGCAATAAACAAAAAAAGAAATTTAAAAATGGTTAATATAAACACATGGAAAGATATTCAACTTCACTGGTAATAAATAATGTAAATTAAAATAAGGTAGGTGGATCAGTGAGTATTTGAGGAAATGGGCATTCCCATATTCTGCTGTTAGAAGAAAATTTTGGTATAAACTTCCTTGAACTCTGTTTGGCAGTATTTATTTATCAAGAGTCTTAGTAATACCAAATCCTTAGAACCAGTAATCCTATTTTTAAAAACCTATTCTGAAAAAAATTTTCAGAGTTGTAGTTAAAGTATAATGCTCATGGATGTTTGTTGCCAACAATTAGGAACATAAAAGTTCATAGTAAAATGTTTAAAACAATTATAATAATTTACATAGTAGAATATTATGCAGTACTAAAAAATTATTTTGTAGAACATTTAATGATGTGTGAGAATGTAAAAAGGATACAAAATTCTATATATCTGGTTTAAGAAAAAATATATGTGCATATAATAAAAAACAATGTTTTCAGCAGTTCTTTCTAAGCAATAGAATTATATATGCTTTCTATTTTTTCTTTTCAATTATTTACTATATTTTCCAATTTCCAACAGGGAACATGTGTTACTTTTATAATTTAAAAAATATTATTAAAAATTGTGCACTTTTAGAAAAGAAAATTATAGTATTGAATTAATAGATTTAGTTCCTACCTCTGAAGATGAACATTTTTCAATCAGGCTATGGGTTCAACAGTATAACCTAGAAGCCTATATATTAAGAAGTGCATTCTGTTTCTTGGGGACAAGTTATCTTGCCAATTTCTTTGTGCTCTCTCTCCTACGAAAACAAACACTGCCACTGTATGTTACAAGGGTGAAGTGTGAATTAAGAGAGAATTACTAAAATGAAATACCTGTAGCTCTTTAGGTAAATACATATGTTGATATCATTACTGTAATATAATGACTGTTTAGGTTTTCTGTGAGGATACATAAAGTGTATGAAGTACTTAGAGAATGATAGAGAAAAGAACTTTATAAATATAAATCATGATTTTCTTAGCATCATTTCTATTTGTATCTGTTGCAGTATAACCTTGAATACTTGGATGCAAGCCATAACCATGTGATAACCCTTGAGGGATTTAGAGGTCTGATGAAACTAAGGCACTTAGACTTGAGCTGGAATCAACTGAAAAAATCTGGCGATGAAATAAATATGTTATGCAAACACACAGCAACCCTTCTCACTCTTGATATTCAACATAATCCATGGCAAAAGGTATGCGACAGACATGTTTATAAAAAAGCACTTTTATTTCAAAGCCATTTCTCACTACTTTACTATTCAGTAATAGCTAGACATAGGCAAACTATCTTTGCTTTTCTAGACTTTAAATCTTTCATAAATTAAATTTAGTGTAGTGATCAAATAAATCAAATGTTACTATAAGAAAAGGCTATACCTTCATGTCAGATTTTTTGTAACCCCTAAAAGTTTGAGAACATTATTGCTTTGAGTCATTGATGTCATTGCTGTTTGCAAACCTCCAGAGAGTTTACATAGCTCAGTATGCCAGAACCATACTGTAATGAGAAATAGGAACCGATGATAATATAATATAGTGAGAGAAGCATACTATTAAAGAAGAAACATAATTTGATTTATAATATTTAATTTACAATCTGTAGTTGAGAAACATGTTTTATAATTTTACTTTGCATTGTTTCTATTATTTGTTCTCTAAGTCCAGAAATCACCTCTCCTCATAAACTGATAGAGTCTTCTGTTGTAAGAAGAAAGTTGATTGAACATTTTTTCTCATCACAAAATACATAGATTAACACTAAGTAATTTCCATATTCAAGAACCATATTGAAGCATATTTTCAAGTATTTAAAATAAGCCCAAATTTATAACTTCACTAATCTTCCTTTCTCTGCTTTTAAAAGATATATATAAGGCAGTGTGCAACATTTTGAAAAGAAACTAAAGCATACTTGGTTCTATTAAGTTGGCCATATTACTAAGTTTATATTGTTGTATTTCTTCTTTCTTGCTCAGTAAAACTGAAGAATATTTTTCTTTTGCCAAAGCAGACTTCCTGGATGATCACAGTACAACTATCTTCCTGTTGCCAAATTGGATTGTCAAGCGCTAAAGATCCATAGTGAATCACACATGGAGATTGCTAGCTTACTGCTGATCTAGATAAACAGGAGTCATTGCAGTTGTTCTTTTAACACTTTTCACCACAGTCACTTTTCAACAGCTTATGGGATTTCCCCCCTTCATAAGAGTAGGATCTTCTACCTTCAAACAAAACATTAATTCTTAAATATAACTTAATTTCAACTATTATGTAAAGAATTAAGTTAAGCCTTTATTTTTAGATACATATATAATAAATAAAGAGATGCATAATTTTTAATTATGGAAAGGAATGAAGAAGCACTCATTTCCATGCCATAACATATATAATATTTTGTGAAAATTAACTTTTTGCTATTTTTCCCAAGCCAGACACATTGAGGCTAAGTGTTATTGGCAGATTAAAGACTCTTACACATTTAGATGGAGTCCTCATTTCTGAAGAAGAAGCAACAGAAGCGATGAAATTTATTACTGGAACAAGGATTACTCAGGTTGGATTTTATTGTTTAATATTTCTTGTGCTATTTGGAACATACAAATAATATTTCCCATACGCTTTTTCTGTCATTAAGATTTTATATTCCTTCTTAGCATGTGAATAAAAATTAATATATAGCAATCATATCACTTGATTTTTTTTTCTGTTTAAATGTACCCCATTTAAATACTAGCTAGTTGTATGGATTCTCCTGATTCATCCCTGAACACTACCCCCAAAAATACATCTAGGGTAACTGTTTTTTTCCTGGTCACCTGAACTCGCCAGAGTCCTTTCTAGAGCCTACATGAAAATAAGCTACTTTCTGAGGATAAGGTAAGCTTATAGGCCTTGAGAAAGCATTTGGTGAATTATCTACTTAGTATTGACATTATATGTGTCTGGCTGAAAAAAACAAAACTTACTAACATGGGAGGAGGGGGAATACTTTCATTATCCAGATTAAGAATGCTATACTTTAGCCATAGTAGCTTCAACATCCTAAATATCTCCAGTTATCTAGCTATTTACTCTTTGTAGGGTATTTAAATATTAATTCCTTAAATAATGCAATGTTTAATTTTGGATCTATTCAAAATGATAGAAAGAAACTTTTTCTTGGTAGAAATATAATTAACACCCCTGAAGAAGAGTTGGGAATTTATCCTGCTAGAAATCAGAATCTACTGAACTCCTTTAAGACAATGTGGTATTGGCACAAAGTTAGTCAAATAGACCAGTTGAACAGAATAAAATGCCTAATATAGACCTATTCATCTGTGGAAACTTGATAAATAACAGAGTTGCCTTTGCACATCAGGGAGGCTATTCAATAAAAGGCATTGGGACAAGTACATTAAAGACTTCACTGTAAAAGGCAAAACCAAAAATGTTTTTGAAGAAAACATAAAAGATTGTCATTATGATCTTGAGTTACTGAAGAATTTATTAGGCAAGAAACAAAGAGCATAAACCATAAAAGATTGGATTTGTCTACATTAAAATAAATATATCTTTTCCTCAAAGAAAGTGAAAAGACAAGCTACATACTGGGAAAAGAAATTTGCAATGCAACTGACAAAAGATATTCTTTATATATCCAGAATGTATAAGGAAAAAGACAACCAACTGAACAGAAAAATGAGCAAAAGATCTGAACAAATACTGGAGAGGAAATTGGGACGGCCAATTACCCTAGGAGAAGATGCTTCACCACATTAGTATTCAAGAAAATGAACATTAAAACCATAATCACCTACCAATTATTACCAATTTTATAGGTTGGCAAAAATCGTAAAGCCTGACAATACCAAGTTGTGGCAAAGCTATAAAGTAAAGTTATATATATATATATATATATATACATACTTGCTATACATATACATACAACCCAACAATTTTACCTAGGGGCATATAATGTAAAGAAACTCTTGCATTTATATACCATGAGACATGCACAGGAATATTCATGACAGCAGTGTTTATAATAGCAAAAACTGAATCAACCCCAATGATCATTGACAGGAAAGTTATTAAGGGAATACTATAGAGCAGTGACATATGAATGAACTATAGCTACATACAGAAGCATAGATGAATCTCATGACTACGACATTGAGCAAGTCATAGAAGAATACATATATATTATTCAATTTACATAAAGTTCAAATGAGTGCATGACTAAATAATATATTTTTATGGACACAACTATAGGACTATAAAGAAAGCAAGTGAATGGTAGACAAAAAAAAAAAATTGAAATAGTTATCACTTCTAAGGGGAAAGAGAGGAAAAGGCTTAGGATGGGGCCCAAGGGAGCTTGGGATTTCATGGGTAGATTATGTGGGTGTTCATGTTATAGTAATCCTTTCAGTTTTACAAATGTTATCTTGTATGTTTCAATATTTGCTAAAACAATAAAAGAGTAAATAATTAAAATGTATCTAGATATTGAAAACATTTTAAGGCAAAGGATGTATTATATTTTAAAATTATTTATTGGACCACTCATCTTCCCTAGGAAACAATACTTTTAACTATATGTAAATAACCTCTGTATGGTATTTCCTTTATTCATCTATTTTTTTGTTTGTTTCATTAGTTATCTCTCTTACGGCATTCCAGTACTAAAGAAGAGAGACCACGGATACTTAGTGTATGGCCTTCTGCCAAAATTCTGACACAGATTTCAAAGTTAGGACCACATTTACATCTGAGTGGAAACTGGTACTTGAAGGTAAAGGCCAATTTCATTAAATCTAATATAAAAGCTTAATTTAAATTGATATTTTAGTCAGTGTTGGTCTGTGTATCATCAAGAAAGCACAGATAGGTAAGGAGCAAAAAACTGGAAGAGACAAATTAAAATAGGGAGGGAACACTTAAAATCTACCCTCTTAGCAAATTTCAAGTATACAATACAGTATTGTTAACTTTAGTCATAGTGTTGTACATTACATCTCCAGAACTTACTCATCTTATATAACTGAAACTTTGTACCTCTTGACCAATCTCTCCCCATTTCTCCTTGCTCCCAGTCCCTGGCAACCACCATTCTATTTTCTGTTTCTATGAGTTTGACTATTGAGATTTTGCATATAGAGATCATGCAGTATTTAATTCACATATATACCTGTATCAAATCAAGTTGTATACCTTAAATATATACAATTTTAAATTGTCAATTATACCTCAATAAAGTTGAGAAAAAATTAAAAACACCAATGTTATTATTAGGAAAAAAGTAATAAATTGACCACATTCCAAAAAATGAAAATAGGGAGATCAAGTCGTGAGTTGTCATGGTACAGAGGCCTCGACTGTTGTAAACCATAAAATTGGAGATTTAGGATAAAGGAACACTACAAACTGGAGGGTAGATTCTGATAACATGTCAAAATAGGCAAGCAAACTTTAAAGGCTCAGAGCCAGAGAGCAAGCCCAATTTTGAGGGGCAGGGGATCAGGAATACTGGAAAGAGAATAGGGAACTGGACAGAATTCAGGCAAGGATAAGGGAAAAGGTTACACAGTACCAGCAGCTTCTTGCTGCATTAGGTGCCCTTATACCTCTTGACAAAGATAGAAACTGGGGCTAAGTGAAGCTAACCCTTGAAAATGGAAGATATTAGTGGTATTATTTTTATTACGGGATATATATAGATTCTGAGCTGCAATGAAGGCCTAAGGACAGCCTTGGCTGACCCCATAGCAAGTTCTGCAATTAGAATGGCTCTTTAAATTTGTCTCAAGTTGGGCTGAGATGGTCAGGCCCTTATATCTCTCTATCATTGGCTGTGGGCCAACCTAGGAAGGCGTGTGACCTTGGGCGAAGCAGCTCTCTCAGCAGAAGGGGCCGACAGCTGAAGGCTTTCTGCCAACAGCACTGCCAGCAGCTGGGACAAGTCCTTCACTGCAGTGGGACTGACTGGCATATCACAGTGTCAATAATATCGTATAAGTCCTTCTTGGAGTTACAGTCTTGTCAAATTTTACTTTTTTATAAACTAAGACCTTCATAATATCTTTAGTCTCTGAAGGAATTCTTTTGATGTTTACTTCTCACATTCGAATTACTTCATTAGCCTTTTTTAAATCTTATAACATTGATTGAATTTACTTTTTAAGATACAGAAGTAACATGTAATGTGAATTATTCTACAGATAACTGCCTTACATTTAGATGGACAGCATCTCTTTGAAATCACAAATTTAGAAAAATTGAAAAATTTGAAATGGGCATCATTCAGCAACAATAACCTCACTAAAATGGAAGGCTTGGAATTCTGTGTTAATTTGGAAGAACTCACATTAGATGGAAACTGTATCTCAAAGATAGAAGGTAAGGAACTTGTGAACTTTGAGGTGTCAAAATATGAATGTCCAAACACCAGGGCAAAAAATTAATAACACTGAGGACAGAGTTTTTGAAGAGGAAGATTTCTAGAGGAGTTCCAGGAAGATTTATGGAAGAGTATTATAAATACCTATGTGAGGTAATGATTAATTAGCTAGATTTAGCCATTTCATAATGTATATACTTCAAAAATCATGTTAAATAAGATAAATACATATAATATTATCTGTCAAATTAAATAATTAAAAATAAATAGATACCAATGAGTAGGATTTGTGACTGACTGCTATATATAATCAGCCCCAGCAAGCTGACTTTCACCTCCTCTGCCTTCTCTCTCTTCTCCTCTGTGCCAGTTTACAATCTGTTACCAAACCTAGCACATACAAACTGGTGAGTCATTAATGTCTGTAAAGTTGAACAAATGAATGAATGAAGGTATGCTTTTGAAAAAGATAAAGGAGACCACTTCATTTTTCAAAATATATAATTAAGGTCATATTTGGAAATTTGAAGATTTTAACAACAATGAAAATTTTATTCATTAGAGGTTGAAAATTAAATATAACCCTTTGTATGAATCTAATAAAAGTACAATTAAGCAGCTTTAGTAATGTCTTGATATTGAGACCAATATAATATGTTTTATTTGACTGTTTAAAATTCAATATTAAAACATATCTTTCTGGACCAGAGAGAATAAAAAAGACTTTTCCTCCCTTCCTGCTTCGAAGCTTCTTAGATTCTTCACTTCTTTTGGGTTTATGCTTATACGCAGCTAAAAATCATGAGTTAAGAGGGTATATATTAAGTTAAATATTTTCTGACTCCTTCCCAGCTTTATTTTATTCTTACCCTCATTTAATGCTTGAAACTTGGAAAGAAATTGAAAGAAACCTTCCATGACTTGCTAACAACTTTCTCCTGTTCTCCCTCTCCATCTACTCAAAGGGGTACCTAAATCCCAGGAATTAAAACATAATATGCCCACAAGTGTGCACCATTTGAAACGGGGAATATATGTGTGTGTGTGTGTGTGTGTGTGTGTGTGTGTGTGTGTCTATACACACACACACCACCCACAAACATACATAGTTACCTAAGCAAAGAATATTTCTGTATGTGCATTTCGGTAACATAATTGTCCTTGTCAAGGAGGGAAGGTAAGAATTAGAAATCATGGCTGGAAAAAAGATAATTTATACTCTATTCACTTTTGAATTGGATTATTTTTAGCATGTGTGTACACTATATTTTTCATAAAATAGAAAATTTGATTTAAAGAATTATATATAAAATCAAGTATTAAATATCTTTAAAAATAGCAATTTTATTATATTTATTTTAATGACTATTAATAATATGTTTCTAAAACTTTCTTGGTCATAAAAATCACTTGGGATACAGATTCACAGGTCTCTCCTCTGTTGATTTCAGTTGAGTAAACCTGAGGTCAGCTCAGGCATCTGTGTCTAAAATCATTACCAGTCTTCTGTTCCCATACAGTTGGGAGTTAGTTTTGCTTTGTATATACAATTGAGAACCCTATTTCCCTTTCATTTCCCTCTATAAAATCTATTAAAGGGAAGAAACCCTCCGATCTGTATTTTTCTTACACCTACTTTTCAGAGAAGATAGCTACTCCTATAAAATTTAACATAAATTTCTCTTATTTTTCTCCAGACATGGGTAGCTTTCATATCCATTTAATGATTTTTGCTTTGATGGTTTTATCCTAGCTTGCCCTAGATTGTTTTACTTTCAGCTTACATAGTTCCCCTATAGAGGCTGTTGTGAAAGGGGAGTACAGATAAAATTTATGGAGGAACAGTTATTTGCCAAAAGCTATAACTGATGCTTTTCAAACATTATTCCATTTAATTTCATAGCCCCTTGGAAGTAGATTTCAGATTTCATTCACTTTATGGATGAGGAAACTGAGGCTCAGACATTACATAATTTACCTCTGGTCCCAAATCTAGTAGTGATACATTTGAAACCAGCTATGACTCTAAAGTTCTTATCTTTCACCTGCACCATCCTGCCTACAGTTAGTTATAAAGTACCTACAGTACATAATATACATAGGAGTTAGATTGTGGTAAGAGATCCCATTTTCTAAACTTCTGTCTTAGGGTACATCTAAGCGTACAAAGGTAGAAGTAGTCTAAATGATTCTTTTTAATATAAATGATACCATAATGAGTACTACTTTCCAGATTTGTACTCTAGTTCCTTACCCTTAATGTTTTAAAATGAGAGCTGGTGGTTATTTTGAGTTTGTAGAGCCTTGAGTTGTCATGATGGTAAAAATCATAATTAATTATATCATTTAAAGGTTATGTGAAAGAGAAATTCAGTATTTTCTACATAATGCCTTTCCTTGACACCTAAGAAGAATGAATCTACTTAGAAATCCAAAATTATAATTTAATGTATGAGATGGGACTTTATTATATACAAGATTTTATCCTTCTGAAACAAAATAAAAAATAATGATGGTTAATATTATAGTATTCTTAAAGCTACTTGAACTTAGCCATTTGATTAACAATAAAATTACTAGCCAGTTATTTTTTTGAATTAACCTTTTAGTGCTATCTGAATCTTTTCTTGGATTTATTTTTCTAGGTATTTCCAAGCTCACTAAATTAACCCGGCTCAGCATAAATAATAATCTTCTCACTGGTTTGGAAAAGCATACTTTTGATAACATGCTTCATCTTCACTCCCTTTCTCTTGAGAACAACAGAATCACATCATTGAGTGGTTTACAAAAAACGTTTACTCTAGTCGAATTATACATAAGCAATAACTATGTTGCTGTCAATCAGGAGATCTATAATTTAAAGGTGACCATCTGGGGTAGTAATTTCTGTTTTTTAAAAAAATATTTATTGTTTCTTTATACTATGAAAGTAATACATGTTAACTGTAGAGAATTTGGAAAATGTAGAAAAATATAACAAGAAAATTAAGAATAACAAAGTTTATTAAAATGCAGTTGCATTTAATTTATGTATATATACAAATATATGTATGTGTAACCATAATGCCTTCAATTTGATAACCTTATGGGGTAACTTTTTTTAAAATACTCAAGTAAAATAACCCAAACCCATGCCTCCTAACTTCGTGCCTTCTTCAATATTTCCAAGTAGTCCTAACCTAGTTGGGGAGTAGGATTCTTTAACATTCTCCTGTTCTCAGTACAATTCTTGATTATCTCTCACTGTTCTTACCAGTAGCCCAAACTCAAGTCACCTTTGCTCAGATTTGCTTTCTTTAATTCTCCCAAAGAAACCACTAATTCAAGGCTACTGTGTAACAGAATTTACTAAAGGTTTGAACAAAATAGAGGGTTTCTACTACACAGAATAGGAATTTATTTCAAATGTAATGTGTGACTTCATTGTTTCTAAAGCTCAATGACCATTTCCTAACACTGTGAGTCTTACATTGGCCTTTCCTTTTGCTGATACCATATTGCTAGAACTTTATCTCCTACTAAAAACTTATGTCCATTCCCTATCTTTCCTTCTCCCTATCCTTTTCCCCCAATATAACTACTACTTCTAGAGCTATAGAGACAATCTAATCAACAACAATTTCAGCAACAAAAGAAGCAATTTTACATTTTTATGCACAGTAGCTTTATTCAGTCCTGTCTTAACCTCTCCCTTCCATACCTACTCAGGACCCTTCCTTCACAACAAAGGCATATCAAACTGTCTGGTCTAATACGAAAGCACATTTTCCCTTAAGATGAATTCTGCTACCCTTTAGAAGGTAGAAGCACTTCAGTTTTATCCCTTTTTGAATGGCAGTGTCTTTTATTCCTGTTATATCTGTATACGCACATACATAACATTTAATAGGCTGTAATTCCATAAACAAAGCATATTGTCTTAAACATAGCAAAGTTCCCTCTAAACCCTTACCACTGGTAGATAATATATTTGGCACCAGTATCCTAAAAGGGATTCTGATCATATAACATAGACCATGTATTGTACAAAATTATGCCTTAGTGGTCTAAAAGGGTAACCTTTGCACTTAAAAGTACACTCAAAAGCATTCAAATCCTATGAAATGATAGATAATTCAAATATTAAAATTCAAGCATGGTTAACCTCTTAAAACAGAAACTTAATGGAGTGCTTTATATATACATATATAAAATATGTATTTTTATTACCTTAGGGTTTATGCAACTTGGTCATTCTAGACATGTATGGAAACATTGTTGTATGGAATCAAGAAAACTACCGGTTGTTTGTAATATTTCATCTTCCAGAACTGAAAGCTTTGGATGGAATCTCAATTGTAAGTTATTTTATGACTTAGAGCATTTAGTTCAAGCTGTGTATTCACATATGCATACGCCATAATAATTTTGAACATTGCTTTATCACTAGCATGATACCCAAACATACTATGCCTATTAAAATCCAGGTCTCCAAAGCTCATTTTATATTACATGCAGGTTTTAAATTTTTCTCATCTGGCCAATTCTTAATTGTCTGAATTGAGGTGGAATGGGAAGGAAGATGCTGCTTGTGGCTGAACGCACTGAATTCAGTGCCTAAAAAATAAAGAGCACAATTTTATGAGACAGGATAGAAAAACTATGCTCTGGAGCCCTACCATCCTCTTGGACCTAAAAACAGCTTCCTATCTTCTGGAAAAATTTAGTTGTTAATAATTAAGAAAAATATATTCCAACCAACAAGTGTAGTGAGCTGTAAAGAAAAGTAGACACAGAACTCAGGACCGAATGTGAAAGCAACATTTGGACACTTGAATTGTGTATCAAGCAAGTTCATACAGGGCTCCTGATTTCCACGTAACAGGGTAAGTATGTGAAAAATGTGCAAGAATAAAAGGCTCCCCTGTGTAATGTTGCCTAGCTCCCATCAGACAATAAAACTCATTACATTTTCTAGAAAATTGAAAGACAGTTCATGATTATTTGGTACTCTGAGGTACTCTGAAAAGATTACTAATCCCAGCCCTACTTTTTTCAGGACTCTCCCAAGAATGGAGATTAAAACATTCTCACTCCAACATATACAAGTTCCCTAGAATCTTGTATGCTGGGTTTTATTTATTAACAGTTGTTAACTTTCATTGAGGGATATTTTAAAAATAGTCTTTTGAATCTAGTATTGCATATACTCTAAAGATGTTGAGGGTTTTATCTTTCCTATTTCTCTCTGCCCTCATTAGCAGCCCCACATGAGAAAGTACTTTTAGAAATAAGTGTAGGAAAAACATTTTCCCCTGAGGAAGAGTTATGTTCTGCTGTCTGATAATGTGTATTATTTAATTACTTTTCTTTTCACTTTCACTACCTCAAAACTCAGGGCCAAATTTATGAAATTAAAAACTGTATAGGTTCTTATGGTCTGTCCTAGGGTTTCTAACCCTAGTTTTTATCTATTCTAATTTATATTGTTCCTGATCTTGATTTTCATTATATATGATTTGAATTTTACTATTTGATTATGTGTGTTTCCTGTAGCTGCCACAAGTTCTTTGTGAAATGAAGCAGAATATAGATATATGAATTAATAATGGGACATGAAGAATTTAGACTTTAAATGAGAGGTAATGGGAATGCATTGGATTTGAAAGACAAGGAAAAGGAAGAGTAAAAGATGTCTACAAGGTTTGAGTCTATCCTGATAAAAGATATCATAACAGAATATGAAATACAGGAAGAAAAGCAATTTTCAGGAATAAGATGATTAGTATTGGACATGGAGTTTTATATGACAGTAGATCATCTGACTTGAGATGTCAAGCAGGCAGTTGAAATTATAAGACTAAATTTAGATATGAAAATATACTTTACACTTGTGTAGACTTAGAAGTAATTTGAAGAGAGCTGATAGTTAAAACCAAATGCAGACATACGATCGTCTAAGGAAAGAGAGTAGAGAAAGTAAAGAAATCTAAGTGAGGATTTAATACTTTTACTTATGAAACATAGGAAAAGAAGCTATGAAAAGTGGGTGCAAAGGGAGGTAAACGAGCAATATAATCCTAGAGTGTTTGAGATGTAAATGGACTTTAGAAATGACATAGTCTAAACCCTTTATTTTATGGATGAGCACAGAGAACTTCATAGAAGTTACATGGCTGTGACTCTTCAATGGCAAATCACACGCAGCTGAGACTCATTCTCTGTCTAAACTCTCATATAATCACATTGCCTTCTTTGGAGTAAGAGTAGAAACCAAGGGTGGACAGAGACTAAGAAGAGCCGAAGAGCAGTCTGGGTAGTTGTGTTTTCATTTTATCTCCTCTTCCTACATCTATTTTTAAAAGTTTATTTTTTACATTGAGAATACATACTCTAAATTCAGATAGGAAGTTTTAATGGAGTAGAAAACAAGAAGGGAGTTTGAGTAAAAATAGAATGACATCAGTTTTATTTAAGTCAAGGTCAAGCCATTTGACTAAAATAGGTTGGCAAACTATGGCCCTTGGGCCAAATGTGGCCTACCACCTGTTTTTGTAAATAAAATCTTACTGGAACACATTCATTCCTCTTTGTTTATATATAGTCTATGACTGCTTTTACACTATAATGGCAAAATTAAATAATTGTAACAGAGAACCTGTCGTCCACAAAGCCTAAAATATTGACTGACTTTTTACAGGAAAAGGACAGAAAAAGTTTGTCAACTCCCAATTTAGAAGGACTCTAATCCAATGTCTGAAAAATGCAAAAGCTACAGTATTTCTAAAGCTCAGTTAATGTTTTTAAACTTATTTTGAGATTGTATTATTTTGGATTCAACCAGAGAAGCAGAGCTAGTATGAGATACATATATATATATATGTATCTTAATAATTGTGGGGGCTCCCTAAGCAAGCCCAAAATCCATGTCAGGCCATCAGGAAGGGAAGATTGCGGGCAGGCTGGAACTCAAAGGCATGAAACAAAGCTTCTGTTCATAGGTGGAATTTCTTTTTTTTTTTTTTTTTTTGAGACAGAGTCTCCCTGTGTTGTCTGGGCTAGAGTGCCGTGGCGTCATCTTAGCTCACAGCAACCTCAAACTCCTGGGCTCAAGCGATCCTCCTGCCTCAGCCTCCCGAGTAGCTGGGACTACAGGCATGCGCCACCATGCCCGGCGAATTTTTTCTATATATTTTTAGTTGTCTGATTAATTTCTTTCTATTTTTAGTAGAGACGGGGGTCTCGCTCTTGCTCAGGCTGGTTTCGAACTCCTGAGCTCAAACAATCCGCCCGCCTCGGCCTCCCAGAGAGCTAGGATTACAGGTGTTAGCCACTGCGCCAGGCCAATACGTGGAATTTCTTAAGGAAAATTCTTTCTTTCAGGAAGTCTCAGCTCTGCTTTTAAGGCCTTGCAATTGCTTGAATCAGTCCCACGAGTGCCTCATTAACGGTCCACAGACATCTCATTATTACCAGGTGGAAGTGGGAATCCAGGCTTTCCATGTGGTCTTCAGTAAAATATGGGGGGGGCGGGTATGGGCGTGCATCACTGCTGGGAAGGGATCGAAGTTCAGGCTCAAATTCAGCAAGCAGATGATGGAGGAGTGCCTTGTTACAGATGGGCTAAGGTGAAAGTCTAAGCAGCCCATTCTGCATTTACTGGTGGGGATGGAGTTGGGGCCACAGTTTATTATGTGATGTTTAGGCTGGAGTAGACATATTATTGTCTAAAAGTTTTTTATTTTGCTAGGCTTCCTTTTTTCTGATCCTTTGACTAGAGAAAGCGGCCTTTTGTGGACTTTGGCTTGTTTTCTCTTGTTGATATTTCTGAGTTCCTGGCTTCTCCACCACCCACTCTGGCATGTATGAGGCAAAAAGAAAATCTAGCGTATCATTCCTCAAGTCCCAAGGTCCCCAGCTGGTTGCTTTCTTCTCTGCACCTTTCAGTATTTTTATGTTTGTCTTACATATAATGTGTAGAGGTTTTAGCTGCACTTAGTAGGAGGAATAGGGAGAAATGAGTCTATCCCATTTTACCTGAAACCAGAGAATTAGTGTGATTTAGTCATCTGTAAGGACAATTATTTTCTAAATGTCTTCATATAGGAACCACCAGAGACTGAGAATGCAAAAGATTTGTTTGGTGGCAGACTAACTTCTGACATGATTGCAGAACGACAAGGACATTCCACTTTCACCGAAATGCAAGAACTAAATTGGACTTCATCATCTATCAGGTACAATCATTTTATTATATGCTTTTTGACATTATAATCAAATATGTAATTAAAATTTTTCTGAAGTTCCTATATTTATACATCTTATTTAAATATAACCAATAATTCAGAAAATCATCTACCCTACTTCAATATCTCATACTAACTTTACCACCCTTTAAATACATTAATAATTTTTATTATCAGAGACTATGATTTAACACGTCATAAATTTCTTTCTTTAGATTTTCTGTTTCTCTTTTCTTTCACAACCAAGTTTTTAAAGTTAGAAATACTAGATTTGGTCCTCACATTTTATCACTCTAATCCAATGCAATCTTATTTCTACTGTCACATTTCTGTGATACTATTCTCACAAATGTCATCACTGTCCTCCTGGTTAACAGACACAGTGGATTATTTTTAGTTCTTATCTAACCTGACCTCTCTGAGTCATATAAGAATGTTGACTCCTCCTTCCTTGTACTTCTTATCTTTTTTTCCCCCTGTAATTTCACATTTTCAATTTTTCTGTAAACTTCTTCAGTTTTCTTTATGAGTTCTTACTGTCTGGTATTGTCCTAACCTGAATATTCAGTTGCTCTCTGGATAGCACCTTGGAGACAACATCTGCCTGCTGTTGCCCAGGCCAAAAAAATCTGAGAAAAATCTTAGTTATTTCTTTCTTTTCTTTGTCCTACATTTTCAGTCATCACCAAGTTCTTCAGTATGTCTCATATTCCTTCTTTCTGCAGTCATAGCCATTGGCCTAGGTTGGTGATTTTTTATTGTTTGTCTAATATAAACCTTCCTTGACAACCCATCTAATATGCATACTATCTTCTAAGATGCAAGTTTTATCAGATTACTTCCCTTCTCAGCATTGTTCAGTAGCTTTCCATTATTTACAAAAGAAAATTTAAAATTCCTTTGTGTGACATAGAAGACCCTTAATTACCGATCCATTTTTATCTCTTGGAATCCTTATCTTTACTGCCCATGACAATATATACTTCAGAAATTCTGAAATATTCTAGTTACTGAGTCTTAATCACAAGATGCTGTTTCATGTTTCATGTTTGTTTCTGCCTCTGTTTGTGCCTGTTGTACTGCCTGGAACTCTTTTCTCCCAATTTGCCTGACAAATACCTACAATTGTCATCTCAAGATTTTTCTCCTATGTGATGTCATCCTTGACTTCCTTAAATAGGTTTTCTTTCCTTGAAATTCCATTACACCTAGTATAGCATTTTTCATCTTTATTTTAGTTTTTCTGGCTCCCACTTTTTGAGGGCAGAAACAGTTTCTTTCATATTTGTTATAGCCATTCCAAACACATTGTCTACACTTAGGAAATACTAATGAAAATATGTTAAGTGAATGAATGACTTACTAATGAATAAAAGTATGTCATAAATTGTAACTTCAAGTTTAGGATTTATTTAAAGAAGTGAATAGGGAAAGGCGATTTGCCATTATCCTCTTCTCTGCTATGGCTCAAGTGAAGGTAGAACAGTTATATAGCTAGGGACTAGGAATCAAGCATTCTCTTTAATTACCAAAACATTCTTACAAGGTGGAATGCCATAAAAGTTTTCAGGAGATCCCATAGAAAACTGTTTTCAAAGACCTTACCTGCTTTTCTTTTGCTTTCCCATCTCTAACCCTGTCCTGGCATTTCAGAAATAACCTATTTGATATATACGCTCTGAAGTTTATAACATGAACATCTTATGATTTACTATATCAACTTCATTATGATTTCATGAACATGTATGTGAATTTATAAAGAAGTTGGAGGTTTATTTTATATGTTTTTTATGATAGTGCTATGTTTATGTGGCAATAGATGTGTTTTTGAAAGCAATCAAATTCTGTATCATTTTCTTACATATGTTTCCCAGCAAAAATGTGTATTTACCTGATAATTTGACCCATACATTTCACATTAAAGGCAATTATTTTTCATAGAATTTGTCAGATGAGATTTTTTTAATGCCTTTGGAAATTGTACATGGAATAACTCACCCTTTCCTACATTTTTCCTATCCTATTAAAATAATAACTATATTTGCTTTGTCTAAATTCAGAACTGTGGATTTGATTCCAGTTGATCAGTTTAGAAATGTGTGTAATGTGAATCTACAGAACAATAATCTTACCTCATTTAGTGGATTAATCTATCTGCCTAATGTGAAGGTGAGTCACTGACAAATTTTTTTTTAATTTCAAGCTTTTCAATGAAAGTTGTTATCTATTCTACTTTGGACTAAAATGTATTTCCATGTTATTAAAGTAGAGAAATTATTATTAAAGTTATTTTAAAAAGTTATTTAAATTATCATTTAAAGTTATTAAAGTAGAGAAAGTTTTTTTTGTTGTTGTTGTGCTTTTTACTAAGCAAGAAAAAGTATTACCTTCCAAAGTTATTTTGGTTTGACTTCAGTTTTCTGTGATTATTTTATCTGCTGTAAATTTTATTCTGCATTAGGAGACAGGATGGAAGGCTACCTCTATAGTGGGCAGGTATGGAATGAAGTTGAAGATACCAAGGTGCTTAAAGCAGCCTCATTGCCTCCTTTCCTATTGCCTTGACTCAGGCATCTACTAAGGCCATTTAAACATAGGGAAACCCTTAGTCCCTTCCACTAAGGGGTTATTTTATCCTTGATTGGGCTTGGAGAAATCAGGAGTGCAGATTGAGAAAGTTGAATAGCTTTCTAGGATCTCCATTATTTTATCTGAAGTGTTGTAATTTCCCAGCATGTCAGATAATCAAAAACACACTCAGGCCAGATGAAATGGCTTACAGCTATACTCCTAGCTCTTTGGGAGGCCAAGGTGGGAGGATCATCAGAGGCCAGGAGTTCAAGACCAGCCTAGGCAACATACCAAGACCATATCTCTATAAAACAAGTTTAAAAATTAGCCAGGCATGGTGGCACATGCCTGTAGTCCCAGATACTTGGGATGCTGAGGCAGGAGGATTGCTTGAGCCCAGGAGTTTGAGGTTGCAGTGAGCTATGCACTGTAGCCCAGGTAAGAGAGCAAAACCCTGTCTCAAAAAAAATTCAAAAATAAATCCAAATAATTTTGGATATAAAAATTTGTTATTTTAAACATTAATGTTATTAAATTATGTGGTATATTACATATTTTATCCATACCATTTTTAATAGTTTCTAGGATGTCTGATTAGTAAGATATTCTTTCTGTAGGTCTTATGCCTCAACTATAATCATATTGAATCAATCATGCCCAGAGTAAAACCTCAGATGCATTTAACCAACAGACAACTACTCTACCAGAAAGTGGCTTCAAGTGGCTATGGACAGCAAGGAACTTCAAAAACAAACAGGTACTATCCTTGATTTTTACAATTACAAATAATTTTGGCTAGTAATTTAAAAAGCAGTTAATCCCTTGCCCTCCTGATTACAAGCCCACAGCCATCACCATTTCGAGAGTTTAATGAGCTATGCCCCACCGTCAGCCTGAGTTCAAGGTACATGGCTACAGCTGCCACTTAGCCAGGAATAGAAAGGGGAGACCAAGTTTTCCTAATCACATTTGTACAATACTACCACCTTGTTACAGGGGGCTATGGGACTGCGGACTAGCCTGCCCAATCCATTGCAGCTACCAGTAATACTAACACAGACCAGTTGGGTCCTTGTGGATGGCTTCACTGTCACTACCACCTCACACTGCACACCAGCTTGCTCTGGGGCTTGAGAACCTTCCCACACATCACACACCTGCCCTCTGCTTCCACTACTAGTTTCTGAGCAAGCCTCCTCCTAAAGGCCTAAGAATTGGCCCCATAGGATGCACTAACACCATTGCCAGCATAATCTGCTTTGGGTCCTAAAATCAGGCATACTTAGCCCACTGCTTCCACCACTGGGGCCCAAAGACTGGTTCATCTTACATTCAAGTCCCCAGCAAAACTTCACCGCAGCCTCAGCTAATAACTGTTCCCTAAGCCACCCAGGAAATCACAGATACCACTGACCCTGTGTACTAAGGATAAGTGGTATCTGCCTAAGAAACCATACAAAGACCACACTACTGCAGGTACCCAAAATCAAAGCCAAAGTGTCCTACTCAACCAACAACATATATACATCTTCAGGCAAAAATTCTCCCCTTCAAAAACAATTCCAAAAAAATAGAACAAGTGACTGCCACATCATATGCTCAGATATCAATGGAAAGACATTGGAAACATGAAAAAGCAGGAAAATATGACACCACCAAAGGACTACAACAATTTTTTTCCAGTAACAGATCGCAATCAAAAAGAATTCCTCATAATGCCAGATAAAGGATTCCAAATGTTGATTCTACAGAAGCTCAATGAGATACAAGAAAAACAATACAAAGAAATTAGAAAATCAATTTAGGATGTAAATGAGAATTTACCAAGTAGATTGATATCTTAAAAAAAAAAACAGAAATTCTGGAGCTGAAAAATTAATTTAAGGACATACAGAATACATTGAAAGCTTCAAAAACATGTTAAACCAAGAAAGAATCTGAGAACATGAAGACAGGTATTTTGAAATAACCCAATCAAGCAAAAATAAGGAAAAGAGAATAAAAAAGAATGAACACAACATTCAAGATGTCTAAGACTACATAAAGTGACTGAACTTACAAATTATCAGTATTCTCAAGTGAGAAGAGAGATCAAAAAGTTTATAAACCTAATTTAAGGAAATAATCAATGAAAACTTCCCAAGACTAGCAAAAGAGTTAGACATTCAGATACAGGAGGCCCAATGATTCCCCAGGCAAATACACTGCAAAAAGGACTTCACCATGGCATACTATAATCAGAATAACTGAAGTCAAAGCAAAAGAGAGAATTTTAAAATTAGCAAGAGAAAAGTGTCTAGTGACTTATAAAGAGGCCCCATCAGACTAACAGTGAACCTCTCAGCAGAAACCTTATAGCCAGAAGACAATGGGATGGCATTTTCAAAATACTGAAAGAAAAAAAACTGTCAGCCAAGAATTTTATATCCCACAAGAATAAGCTTCATAAAGGAAGAAGAAATAGTCTTTCCCAGACAAGCAAATTCTGATAGAACTTGTCACCACTAGATAGTCATATAGGAAATGCTCACAGGAGCCTTAAACATGGGAATAAAAGGTCAATATTCACCATCATGAGAACACATAAAATATAAAACTCAGAGGTGTTATAAAACAATCACACAAAGGAGGAAAAGAATTAAATGGTAACATGACAGAAGTGCAGAAAACCACAGACAAAAAAAGAGAAAGAATTTATAAGACAACTAGAAATCAACTAACAATATGACAGAAACAAAGCCTTACATATCGATATTGATCTTGAACATAAATGAATTAAATGTTCCAGTTAAAAGATACAGACTGGCAGAATGGATAAAGAAAGGTGATCCAACTATATGTTCTTACAAGAAACTTACCTTACCCATAAAGACACATATAGACCGAAAGTAAGAGTAGAAAAAGATATTCCATGCAAACACAAAAGCAAGCTGGTGTAGCTATACTTATATCAGATAAAACAGACTTTAAACCAAAAACAGTTAAAGACAAAGAAGGTCATTATATAATGATAAAGGGATCAATTCAGCAAGAGGATATAATGATCATAAATATATATGTACCCAACATTGGAGCACCTAGATTCACAAAACAAATATTATCAGACCTAAAGAAAGATACAGACAGCAACACAATAATAGTGCGGCACTTCAGCATCTCACCACAGCACTAAACTGATATCAAGACAGAAAATCAACAGAGAAACATTGGTCTTAAATTGGACTTTAGAGCAAATGGACCTAACAGACATTTACAGAACATTCCACCCAAGAACTACAGAATATACATTCTTTTCATCAGCACATGGAACATTCTCCAAGATAGACCACATTTTAGACCACGAAACAAATCTTAACAAATTTTTAAAAATCTAAATATCAAGTAGCTTTCCAGACCAGAGTGGAATAAAGCTAGAAATCAATACAAAGAGGAACTTCAGAAACTATACAAATACATGGAAATTAAACAACATGCTCCTGAACAATCACTAGGTCAACAAAGAAATAAAGATGGAAATTTTAAAATTTTTTGAGACAAATGAAAATACAACATACCCAAACCTGTGGGATACAGGAAAAGCAGTGCTGTGAGAGAAGTTTATAGCATTAAATGCTTAGATCAAAAAAGTAAAATGATCACAAATTAACAACCTAACATTGTACCTCAAGGAACTAGAAACAAGAACAAACCAAACCCAAAGTTAGCAGGGAAAAAGAAATGACAAAGATCAGAGCAGAACTAAGCAGAGACCAAAAAAGGATCAACAAAATGAAAAGTTGGTACTTCAGAAAGATAGACAAAATCGATAAACCATGGGCTTGACTAAACAAGAAAAAAGGAGATACAATCCAAATAAACACAATCAGAAATGAAAAAGGAGACAACTGATTCCACAGAAATACAAAAGATTATCAGAGACTATTATGAACAACTATACAAACTCACAAAATAGAAAACCTACAGTAAATGGATGTATTCCTGAAAGTATACAGCCTCCCAAGATTGAACCAGGAAAAAATAGAACTCCTTAATGGACCAGTAATGAGTAATAAGATTGAATCAGTAATAAGAAAATTTCCCACCAATAAAGAAGCTCAGGACCTGATGGATTCACAGTCAAATTCTACCAGACATACAAAGAAGAACTAGTGCCAATCCTACTGAAACTGTTCCAAAAGATCGAGAAGGAGGGAATCCTCCCTAACTCATTCTACAAAGCCAGTATCACCTTAACAGCAAACCCAGGAAAGGATGCAACAACAAAAAAAAACTACAGACCATTATCTCTGATGAACATAGACATAAAAATCCTCAACAAAATACTAGCCAACCAAAATCAACAGCACATCATTATGATCAAGTGGGTTTCATCCCAGGGATGCAAGGATGGCTTAACATGTACAAGTTAATAAATACAATTCACCACATAAACAGAATTAAAAAACAAAAACCATATAATCATCCCAATAGATGCAGAAAAAGCATTTGATAAAATCTAGCTTCCCTTCATGATAAAAACTCTCAAAAAACTCAGCATAGAAGGAACATACCTCAAAATAACAAAAGCCATATATGACAAACCCACAATCAATATTATACGGAATGGGGAAAAGTTGAAAGCATTTCCCTTAAGAACTGGAACAAGACAAGGATGCTCAGTTTCACCACTTCTGTTAATATTGAACATAGTACTAAAAGTCCTAGCCAGAGCAGTCAGGCAAGAGAAAGAGCATCCACGTGGAAAAAAGGAAGTCAAATTATCTCTATTTGCTTATGATATGATTTTATACCTAGAAAACCCTAAGGACTCCTCCAAAAGACTCCTATATTTGATAAATGAATTCAGCAAAGTCTCAGGTTATACAATCAACATACAAAAATTAATAGCATCAACAATGACTAGGCTGAGAACCAAATCAGTAACTCAATCCAATTTACAATAGCTGCAAAAAAACCCAATAAAATACCCAGGAATAAATTTAACCAAGGAGGTAAAAGATTTCTATAAGGAGAATTACAGATCACTAATGAAAGAAATCATAGATGACACAAACAAATGGAAAAACATCCCATGCTCACGGATCAGAAAAATCAATATTGTTAAAATGACTGTATTGCTCAAAGCAATCTACAGATTCAATTAAATTCTTATCAAAATACCAATGTCATTTTTCACACAGTTAGAAAAAACAATTATAAAATTCATATGGAACCAAAAAATTGCCCAAACAGCCAAAGCAATGTAAGCAAAAAGAACATTAAAAGGCTACAGTAAACGAAACAGCATGGTACTGGCATAAAAGTAGACATGTAAATCAATGGAACAGAATACAGAAGCCAGAAATAAAACCATATACCTACATACAACTGATCTTTGAGAAAACAGACAAAAAGAAGACTGGGGAAAGGACACACTATTCAATAAATGGTTCTGGGAAAACTGAATAGCCATATGTAGAATAATAAAACTGGATCCCTATCTCTCATCACATATAAAAGTTAACTCAAGATGGATTAAAGACTTAAATGTAAGATTTGAAACAATAAAAATCCTAGAAGAAAACCTTGGAAAAACTCCTCTGGAGATTGGCCTAGGCAAAAAATTTATGACTAAGACCCCAAAATCCAATGCAATAAGAACAAAAAAATAGACAAACGGTACTTAAACTAAAAAACTTCTGCACAGCAAAAGAAATAATCAAAAAAGTAAATATATAACCTATAGAATGAGAGAAAATATTTACAAGCTGTGTGTCT